GTTTGTTTTTTTTTCGTTTGTAATGAAGTGTGAGGACCTGCAATGGAAATATGCGTCACGATACACATTTTTCGGGTGTGCTTTGAAGTCGTAGCCTCCTAGCACCGCAAATTTACCCTCTTCCTTCAATGTTAGTCTTCAAGAGTGTCTGGGCACTCAAATATTTCTCATTTGTCAACTACTTACCTGTCTTTTTATGATATATGTTGTCTGCTATACTTTTCATCTCATCAATTTTCTGTCAAACTTTTACAAGTGTATTCGCTAATTCCTTCCGTGTCAAAAATCTTATATCTTTGGGAGTGCTTCAACGATCCCCCCCCCCCCCCCCNGACAGTCCTAGCTCTCACTTCCCCAGGTTCAATTTCATTAGGACCTACTAACTTTGCATATGTCATAGAGCTAGCTAGCTACTATTCAGCTAGCTTTAGTTGAACTAACTACTGGAGCTCTCACTCTGTCTATTGTTGCTCTGCATATCTGTTTTTGGGTCGCTTGGCTCATCAAACATATGTACAAGGTAACAATTCAGTTTCTTCAGCTCCGAAAACTCCAATAGTGGTTCAGGGTTCTTAAATCATCATCATTCTATATTGATTTGTTTGCGGAAGTTTATTACAAAATAATAAGACTCCTCTGTGGTCTCTCATAGTGCTGTTGGTTTTCGAGTGCCCGATAAAATTTTTGCTCTACATTGTCTCGAATTTAATTTTAGCCCAGCAAAGTGAGATAAATCAGTTTAGGCTTTGTTTTGTTGGTACAAAAGACCGCTTGAACCAGGTAGTAAAGTTGTGTTGTTAAGAAAGAGGAAGGGGATAAAAGGAGAAGTTAGTATAATACAATAATAAGGGCTTTCAAGACTTTTGTTCTCTTAAAGGCTTTCAAGACTTTTGTTCTCTTCTTTTTGAATTAATTTTGAATTTTTGCGACAATAAAAACACAAGAGTCAGGGAAATTAGGTTGACAGACTTCGCGATCAAGAAAGAGGATTTGCCATTTTGATAAGAGCATCCTATTAGTTTAATGTTTATTCCTACGGACTTTCAATGCTTCAATGAAGGTGGTATATTTTTGCTTTGCCCTGAAAGATGTACCAACTTATTTGGTGTGAACTCACCGTAGCCTTTAATTCACCAAATTTCAGCATACATTGTAAAAATTACTGCAACTAATGGTTGAAGAAAAGATACTCTGTCTATCGTCAGATCAATATAATTTCTCCGAAAATTTGCCTCTTTCATTCTGAAATAGTGTCTATGTTTTGGCCCAGTGAAATAGTGGCAAAGCTCTCATCTCTATTTTTCATAAAAATTTGAAATAGTTGATTTTTTCTCAGCACTTCAAACGCACAATTTATCACATACAATAGAATTTCCAAAATTTGATAGAATAGTTCACTTATACGCAACGTGGAACTATTACGCATGGCTCAAAATCGTGTATAAAACTTGTGTTTTCAACATTTAATTTTTTTTTTTTCCATTGAATTTTTTTATACTTTGATTGTGGCTAACGTCTGTCATTTGCCTGGTTGTATAAGTGCCTCCAAAGAATTGTTAGCTTCGTCTCCAGCTGTCAGCGATCTGTTGTGTTGGCGGAACACTCATCACTTCATGCCTTGGATCTGAAAATATTGTTCTCGTGCTTTGTTTTTTCCCTTTGTTGATTCTAAAATTTGACAAATTCTAACTGTTGATTCCTAATAAATATGAAAAAATTTTAAGATGTTGTTCTATCATTAGATGCTGCTAACCTTATAAAACTTCTTATTCGATTGAGTGTTCTCCACCTACTGTTTTGGTTTATGTATCTTGCCTCTTTGGTGCCAGTATTATTCCTTCACACATTCAAGTGAGGTTGTTAGTTTGTCCTATTATTTTATGTAACATATTTATTATTAGGAAAATCATTTATTTTTTATATTTTGTACCGAAATTACCTAATACAAACAAAAATGGCATAATTGTAGGAAGCAAATAATATTGATTCTACAGCTTACTAAAAATTGATTTCACCAAAGAAACTAATGACACCAAGATTTCCAAGTACTCCATCCAACGTTCAAGTCAAGACAATGTTTTCAAATTTAATTTTTAAATTATCTTGATTTCTCTCTTGAAACCCCCTCATCATGAAACCTTTTGTTTACCCTTAGAATTTTTATTTTATTTCATTTTGCAAAGTTACAAGTCTTGCGTGTATGGTTTTTACAAATTTTTACAAATTATTTTCTTCCAAATAGAGGTACCCAGTTTTTCCCAACAACACAACATTATAAAAATAAAAGGAGATTTGTCCTTCAGTTTTTATTTTTAAATCTTTCAATTTCCAGTATCGCCATTTTTTTTTTTTTTATGATAGAAATTTTGTCGTAACCTATTTCATTCGTATCCACTTATTTCGGGTGTTAACCGAACTCAAAAGTTTTCAGTATACCCAATCAGCCACTTAAATTCACCTACATTCCAATTGCCACAATTTAAACAAATGAGATTTTTTTAATTTTGAAGAACCTTCGTTTCCAAAAGAATGGCCTAGTGATTCTGATTAAAATTCAATACATTATCCCACTTGGTGTCATTTCCACTGCCTGCCTCTTTTGCCTTTTCTGATCTGAGGGCAGTGACTGTAAACAGCCTGATTACGGTAACTTAGGACTTTAATATCTCAATTCCCCTTTCGGAAGAGGTATTAATATTCCTCCTTTTTGCATTGTAACAGCGGTCTAAGTCGTTGCATTGCAACAGAGATGCTACTTTTTCTCCCTCCTAGATGACAGGCGAAGCCTAACCTCATAGTGAATTATACTTTTTGCAGGTTTAGATTATCTTTTATTTTGAGGTCTGATTTTCTACCTCACAGTGCATCAGACAGACCAGCATCTTTGTAGCAGCCTGATTGTTGAAACTTTATCTAGCTTTGTCGGCAAAATAAGACAAGATTTAGCCCTTTCCGCTCCGTGTAATATATCAATTTTTGATGTCTTGTCGCGTTGACATGAATTTCAACAATTACGCCATAGCCCTAGAATTTTATCTTTGAAGTTTTTTGGACAAATGTATTTTCCACCGCGTGAAACATCCTATAAAATGTCATTTTTTATCATTGATGGCTTACTTTTCCCTGCTTTTTCAATAGTTAATTATCGTACTACTTGAGGGATAGAATTCGGGAAAACAAATAATAATCTAAAAATTAAAAAATTAATATCAGTATGAAAGTTACCCTCTCACCCTTTCAAGGTAATGCAATCAGTGCATCAGTAATGATATGATCTCTCTTTTTATCTTACAAATAATGGTCACTCCAATCTTTATTTTTCTCTCTTATAAGTTTTCAATTCTCCTGCCATTTGATATAACCACAATTTTTTATCCAATAATTAAATGAATATTTGTATTTTGATTTCATCAGTACATGATAGTCATGAATATAACCGAATACTTTTGAGTTTTCATGACATTTAATTTTAGTCATCATATAATCCTTCCTGTCATGGAACGTTTAATTCATTTTTCTTCAACTGAATAACTCAATTTATTAAAATTATAGTGCATTGACAATCCTGCTTACCACTGAAAAATCACTCAAGTTTTCCACGAGTTTTTTGCAGTTTTCATAATGGCAGTAGGATTTTATAATCTGGTCATAAGGAACGGGGTGGGATGGTTTGGATTAAAGGATATCGATCAGTCAAAAAATGCAATGCTCTCCCGGCAATACTCATGCACCGATCAGCTTCGAACTGAAGTTAAACATGAAATCAAATGGAGTGGTCTTGCACAATTTTTCTAATCATATTTTACAATAGACATTATCACATTACCAAGCAAAAAAGATTATTTACAGCACGAGATAAGACATTTCTTTATGGGGTTGTTGTTATTTAAATGACATTGATTTGGGTACATACTTAACATTTCACTAATGTCTCTTCAAATGGTAGGATCAGAGCTGGATGGGGGGGATGTCCCACCCGAAAATGTTGAGGAATTCTTGTTTAACTATCCACAGAAAATGTAGAAGATAATTTACAAGCCTCTTTGAGTAATGAAGTGAACCGTCAAGTGAAAATTTCCCATGTCTTAATGCAATGGAGTCCCTCTGGCTCAGAAATTTTTAAGTCCAAAGGACGGCACTGCAAATTACAGACAGTTGCATCCTTTTTCGCACATCAAGTTGGTCGGACAAGTTCAAATTCCAATCTTCTATCTGTATTGGATTTGAAAAGACAAAGCATTAAACCTACTTTAAGCTTAGCACCATCACCTCAACAGCATACTTTTAACATGTTACTTTTTAAAAATATTGCTTTACACAAGGCTAGAGTTCAAAGACAACTGTACAAAGCAGAGAACAACTAAGTTTGTTTCCAAACTCCTGTTGCAGACTAGTCTCTTTTGCTTAAAATTACTCGAGTGGACTCCTTTGAACAAAAAATCTGAGTAGAGCTCTGCGTATATCGACGTATTTTTATTTCATTGGTAGCTTAATATAAAGTATCCTACAGAATCAGAAATGAAACCATTCAAGTAATTATTTTTGTTCCTTTCCAAACAATTTGTATTTTTCAGGACGGGTAGATCCTAATTAATGATCCAGATAATCATTGTCCTTTTGTCTTCGCTTCTGTTGAAAGGAGAACCTAGGTAATCAAATGCATTTAGAAGTCAGCGGGAAGTAGAAATTCTTATCCTTCTGTTACCATCAATTTCTGAGCTGCATCGTCTCCGACTAGTGTAAGAATGCAGTAGCAACGTTTAGTCATCAACTGCTTTTAAAACAATTTTCAGTTCAGAAAACATTTATTTTTTCTTATTTACTGTTTTTTTTTTCAATTGAACTCTCACGAAGGATTCGACGGATGTCGCTGTTGAAGAACATGATGTGGACAATTGTTAGAGCCTCTCAACTGGGTTTTTTGTGCTCGTACGAAAGATATTTTCAGGGTGTGTCCTCAAAGTTGCAATGTCTCGTCATATTCTGATTTGTGATTACAGAAGGAAGTCCAAAAACAGATAAACTTGAGTCAGAAGAAAGTGCCAGTACAGATCTCAAGAAGAGTTGCTCGGATGAGCTCATACAAAAAGCTATGAGCAGTCCTGTGGTGGCCCCCGCACTCCTGAAGACCGAGATGATATTAAAACCTCCTCAAGATGTTGATTTGCGAGTGCTGCCTACCTCACCCAAGAAAAGAGTGTCCGACAACAAAAGTGAAGAGCCACCTACAAAGAAAAACAAAGCTGAAATGTACAACATGTACGTAATTATTTATTTCCTTGATCATTTTGCTGCAAGCAGTCTCTTCTATGAAGCTGCCCAAGACTTTTGTGTGGACAATGAAGTTGTAAAAACTTGATTGTTTCATTGTAGTGTTCAAGTCATCAACTTGTGTATTTTAGTGGCAGGTCATCTTTGACTTTCTCTGTTTGGTCATTCTAGAAAGGTAATACTGAGGGACAAGCAACTTCTTTGGCTGTCTCCAACCCATTGGCGAATCAAAGCCCCAGCTTTGATTTTTTTTTAATGTATCACCTCTGCTTATAATGTCATTGATTGAATGAATACCAGTTTCAAAGCTCATTCAGAACTTCAGATCGCTCTTCCATTCACTGCTCCAAAAAATTGCCAAGTGCTGTTTTTACTGGCAAGTAACATAAGCTCATCAAAAATGCAAGATATTTCCTGAAGATCTCCCATCCCTCGAAGTCTTGTCTTTAAAAACTTTGGTACTAGTAATGTTAATCAGATGAATTCAGGCCTCTTCCTGAAATCTTTTCAGCTCTGCAACTTACCTCGCAGGAAGTCATTATGCTTGCCCTTACCTTTCAAACTCTTCTTTCAGGTTATTTGGAAATGAGGATGTGGATCTCCGCCAGGATGTCGATTTAAGGCTTCCTGTAACAGGAGTCCCTCTACTTGTCTCTTCTATATCCGCTCCTACGCAACACTTAGCCACAGCAGCAGTGTTTGATAGTTCAATGACCATGTCAACAGCTTCTTCTCCCAAGGCTGTTGCTCCCGTCACTATTGCTCAGCGTCCGGAAACATCCAAAACCAGTAAACCGTCATCCAGCAGTACCTCATCTCCAAAGCGAGAATCTGCAAAAGAATCTTCCCGTCCTAGTAGTTCTAAATCAAAAGCAGAATCCAAAAAGTCCTCTGAAAAATCTGCTTCATCTAGGAGAGCTAAAAAGTCACCATCTCCTCCTCTATCCAAGACGCCCTCTCCTCCTCCTCCACCCATAATATCTATGAAGCGGGACTCACCTCTCAAGGAGTCAACAAAAGAGAACTCTCGGTCATGGGCTAAGTACAAGGAAGTGAAACCGGACAAGTTCAAGTCTCCGTATAGAATTCCAACGAAAAGATTCAATCCCAGGCTGGAACGCCCTATCGAACCCAACAAACTAGGTAAGTACTAAGTGCCATCAATAATCAAGGAAAGTAAAAACTGTCAAAGCACAGTTCCATGATAGGAGTAACTGATGCATTACTACAATACGCAGCATAAAGCAGTCAGAACTTATCCGTCTCTTTCATTTATTTACTTTTTTTTGTTGATTAACTAGGAAAATTTACCTCCAGAAAACAAATTATGACAGAAGTTGTTGCATGCCCAAAGATGAGTTAGTGTGTGAAATTGCGAGCCTTTCCTATTATTCTAGTGTAATCATTGAATTTCTAATCATCCATGTTTTGGCCCCGACTCGACGAAGGTCTCTTCTTTATGCAAAATTCCTGTTCATAGAAATTGTTCCAGAAATCTATGTAAAGGAATTTGGAGACAACCTTCTGCATTCGAAGTTTATTTATAAGGATCAAGTTTTCAATACTTGTCTTTCAACAACAGGGGTAAAGTCCACTGAACAGCTGTCTGAAAGCAGAAGTGGTACTTTAGATGTTAAGTCATGTCTTTTCTTTCTCTAAAATGGGTTTTTCATCTGCTCTACTTCATTGTCCACAGATCATATAATTCAGCACCAGTCACCTCTAAGTTACCGCTCTGAGTTAGATGCAGGCAAAGAAACTCGCAGCTACTTGGATAATCAACACCTAAATATGAACACGTATCGCAGCTCATATTACACAGACATGAATCATTCTAATGACATTTCGTCAATCGGTGAGCGACGGCCTAAAACAATGGCAGATATGAAAGCAGAACCTCTAGATGAAGGGTCAAGAGCTCCTGAGCCATATCAGCCAGAACTTAGGATGTCTGAACCAGTATCTGTCAAGATGGAACAATGTCTTGAGCCTTATACCTCTCCTAAAATGGAAACAGAGCCTGGATCAGAAGTTCCAGTGGTGCTTCCAGAACCTCCGAAACCACCAGCCACACTGCTGCCCCCACTCCCCCAACCGCCTCAACCACTCCCAATGCCTCAACATTATCCAGCCCCTCTTCTTCAACCTCCAATAGTGCCTGTCCGTCCAATGGTTCATCCTCAAGGTCCGTTGAGGCATGATCTAGTAGATCATCCCGAAAGATCGCGGATGATGCTTGATCACCCTGAAAGGCCAAGGATGATGAATCACCAGGAGAGACCTAGAATGATGCTGGATCATCAGGAGAGGCATCCATTCCCAAGGCCTAACTTCAATTTCAACCATCATCCTGGTATGAGACCTAGGTATGTATTCGTTTTGAATGTAAAAGCGGTTTGCAGATTATTTTCCAGCTTCCAGAAAGTGTTTTTGTACGACAACCTAAATTCCAGGAATCGCGTTCCGAAAAACGGATGCTCAAATTTTGCTTTTTATTATTTATTTTTATTTTTCTCTTAGTAAGAAATAGTAAGTTTGTACAAGGGTGGTCTAAGTTTGTTCTAACATACTTATCAGCATTTGATCTTTAATATTCTCTAATACTTAAAAACTAAAACTGATCTTTCAGAGAGTTCCATCGTCATCAAATAGAATTTTTAGTGATAATATTACCTAATACTTATCCGCAAGTGTGTACTGAACAGCAGAGGGGAAATTTGTAACTAAAATGACAAAGCCAAGACAATTGATCTCTGAACAGAAAACAAGAATCCCACTGGTTTACCTATCTAGATCCATTTAAGTTACCAAAATCTTTCCAGTTGAAGAATTAATGGAATTTAAATAAGTAATCGTATACCTAATAATACAAAAGTATCCTTCAAAAGACTTATTCCCTAAAATATGTGCAGTTTGATAAAAAGATAATTTACCTCGCGTAATGTCTATTAATAGGTGAGAATTTCTGCACACAACATTTCAACTTTAGAACATTGTTTGAAAAATAAATTAAATGAATTTAATAAAATAAAATATGATTCTAAAATATTTAATTGGTGTGTATTTTGTTTTGTTTCCAGTCATTTATTTGTTGGACCTGGGCGCCCACCTCTAAGACTATCCTGTGATTTTGCACCTACAAACCCCAAATTGCTAGAAATTTGTGCATTAGATGTAATGACCACGATCAACATTGACGGTGTTCCTAGAGAGATACGCTTTTATGGACTGACAGCAGTTGTGTTTCTTTCAAATGATGATCCAAGAGAAATACGCTTCCAAGAAGGTTATAGAAACGTTTTATTCAATGATGAAGATTCCATACGATTGAAATTGAATGACGAAGCTGTAGACTTTGAACTAGATGGAAAAATTCATAAGTAAGTTACAAAAATTAGGACCTCATTTTTCTTGATTCTGATTTTTTTTCTTTGCTTCTGAGTGAGGAGGAAATCTTATTATGGCAACTACTGTACCTGCATAGGCTGCAGGCAAGCAGCAAAAGGTCTTTAGCAGTGGCAAGTGGCCATTATAGAGATTCCAAAACCGCCTGTACCCAGCGTAGACAGGGATTGAGGCATATGACTTGACAAGATTAGTCTAGATGCATGAAATTACAAAATTTGTATTAATTTAAACTACATACCAATGCATTTCGGCATGAGCTCCATCATCAGGGTACAACTTACAAAAACAAAGATAATTAACAAAACGCAGCAATAAAAATAATAGTAAAAAAATTACATAGTTCGGTTGAGAACTACCGAACTATGTAACTTTTTTACCATGTTATTTTTATTGCTGTGTGTTAATTTTCTTTGTCTTTGTAAGTTGTACCCTGATGATGGCGCTCATGTCGAAATGCATTGGTAGGTTGATTAAATTAATAAAAATGTTGTTATTTTTTGCATCTAGACTAATCTTGTCTTGCTAATTCTTTCAAGTCATATCTAATAGATGCAGTAATGCAGAATTACCAGAGATTGAGGCAAACCCGGACTCCTGAGCTATGCACCCTGCATTTTGAAGGTTGACAGCTCTTTCTGTAAGATTCCTGCTCAATTGAGGCCAGTTGGTCCATCCTTCTTATGGGTATGCAGATGTGCCAATGAACATCCAATCCTATGCACCCATCCATGTCCATATCCAGCGCTAAATTTGATGCGCACTGATCTATTGTTAAATTTTAAGACGGGTTCCACTCTTACCTCAAAACGTTACATGTATAATTGACCTTCAAAGTTAAATTTTAGTAAACATTACAACAGTCTGTCAGGAAGTGTCTCCCTTCAACCGGGCAGATATTTCTTTCCTTTGACTAGAAAATCCATTTTCAATACTTCAGTACCTATTCTAATCATTGTCTGCTTTGATTGTTTTGCCCGAATAGAATTCGATTAGGTGCTCCAACTAGAGAATTATATATAGATGGTAAAGGATTTTCTCTTGGATGGAATACTGAACCTACGCCAATTTTTATTGATGGGAAAGAGCATCATGTCCAGCTAGAAGGTGAACCACCTCCAGTCACGATCCTACCAGAAAAGCGGCTTGATCTAGTCGCAGGGAAAATAAATTTGGTCGTCGATGGAGAGCAATTGATAACAATGTATCTAGACTACAAACCACAGAGGTATGTCTCGCTTCAATTTTTTCTCTTGTTTTCAAAGAAAAATACCAAAATTTGAATAATTCCCTCATTTTCCTTGGCAAGAAATTAACTATAAACAAGCCAAAATATGTATGTACTAGTTGCTCCTCTAGCGCACAAGGGCACTCTGCGACGCCTAACCGCCACTGAAATCTATCGAGGTAGAGCTAGAGTTGTTCGTTTTCTTTGTTGGTAATTATCTATAGCATTGCCAAAACATGTTTGTAAAAACAGATTACCAATTGCATTGAAACATGGTGTAACAAAAAACCATCTTTTTTGATCATCTTCCTCTCTACATATTGATCCTCCTGTCTAAAATTCCACTTATGTTTTTGAGTATTCTCTCATTTTTGTGTATGTGTGCATCTCTGTTGTAGGTTTGACATTGATGGTGTACCATATGTGCTACAGTTTATGAACGCTTTAAAAAGAGTGAAAATCAACAATCGAGTGTTCAATGTAAGTTGGTCTTCGTTTTTTTTTGGTCAAGGTCAGTTAGGCTGCATTATTGTTAAAAAATGAGTCATGGTAGATGAACCAATCATTACTTTCTGTCAGAAAATAAACAATAAGTGACGACAGCTACTTAATATACAGCTTTTAAATATTTTCCTTTTTAATGCATTTATAATCCATGGAAAAACCTCGCAAGAACCTCGGAAATTAGTCACAAAAACCATTTTTGCAAGTTTTGATAAGTTTCTGTGTGACTATGAAAGCTCTCTTACCCAAGTAGTGCAGTGCAATGAAATATTGAAATGAAATTGCGATTTTTATTACCTTCATTTTGTCAATAAATGCAGATTCTAAACGATTAATGAGATGAGCTACGTTCATTAGAAAGATATGCAATTTGGAATGCTAAGAGGAATTTCGACTTCTTTCAATTTTATTGCAATCAATTTCATTGAGAAGTGTCCCTTCAAATAGAACATAGGGAATATACACAACACTCTGATACACTAACAATAATTTGATAACGTAATTGCACTTTATGGCAATCTGTGTTACCTACAATTGAATCAAAGTATGCAAAAACGTCCGTTGTCCAATACAGGGTTTCATAATTGTGTCGGGTTTCTTTTGACACCGATGAATAGGATCAATCTCTTTTGTAAACGTTTAATTACACCTAGCGGATTATTTATAAAATTGTTCTACATTCCTAACGTCTTAAACCATCTTGTGTCCTTAAGTCACAACGAAATTGTCCCCTCAAATTCTGAAACACTTTCTTGGACATCGGACGTTTTCGCCTACGTTGATTCAATTAGGCAAGAGATAACAATGAGAAATTTTCATTTTTTTAAAATTATTGTTTCAGGTTAGGGCAATGTAGAAGAAATTCAGGTTCTATTTCGAACAGAAAGTTCCTACTATTTTTCTCCACTATTCAAAGCTAAGAAGAAATATTACCCTTGAAAAGAATTACATCATCATAAGTGTGACGCAACGCAGAAAATTTACCAATAATTAATAGAATATCAAAATCACAAAAATTGCACATGTTTTATTTGCTTATTTTTCATATTTTACTTTTTTCAGACTGATTTTGGGGGTAAACCGAAACCTTTTGTCTTCCATGGAATCAGACACTTCCTCCGGCTTTCAGCACTACCAAAAGGAATTGTGCCGGGCGAAGTAAAACTGTATGGCATGGAGGACGTAGTCAGCCCCCCTGTTCCTCCTGCTGGATCTCATCCTCCGCTGAGACAGGAAGATGGAGCACCTCATCCATCTTCAGGTGATTAAATAACAATTAAAATGTTATGCTCTTGGAAAAGAATCTTTATTTTAAAAAATTCAATTTGATTCAGCTAATCTGCTGAGCAGTCAAGAGCATCTTGCTGCTAGTTCAATTTGCTAGTTCAATTTGATTCAGGTTAATCTGCAGGATTTGATTGAAGTTAATCGGCTGCCTGGCATTAGGACCAATTCCAATCAGCTCTATCTCCCAGATGCCAAGTTAATGATTTACGAAGAGTAAGAGTGAAGAATGTTCTAGATCGTCAGCAAAAAGATTTGCCTGAATCTAGATTGTAGTCTCCTTGCACTGCGGATTTGACTTGCCGCAAGTAGCTAAGCCCTCACCATGTCACTTCATTATTCTTTATTTTTTTTTTTTTTTTTTTTTTTTTTTTTTTTTCGTGGCAGTAAGTTGCAGAAACTATGGTAATTATTTCTTCCCCTGATTTTCTAAAAAAAAAACCAAAAAAAACTATACATGTAAATAAATAACGGTTAAAATTAAATGATAAACTTGTCAAATATGTCAGTCTTTGTGATAAACATTGACAAGTGCATTCTTACACTTGCCTGAAAGTCTCTGATGGATAAGCATTTTATGTAAAAGTTAGCTGATTTGCGCTAAAGAGAAGAATTTTCTGAACATCTGACCAAAAGTTGTCCCTAACATGCCCATGCCCCCCTTGCTAAATTGGTCGAAGTGACTGTTTTTTATCTAGTCGTGTGTCTCGAGTTAAAACCAGTAGTAGTTACCAGTGTTATGTGCTGCTAAATGGTGGGAATGCTATCCACGGCTGTACAATCAATGTAAGCATGAAATATATGTTATGGCAACATCCTAGAGTTAGCATCAGTGTTAAGCAATAGTAGTTTACAGCCGTTGTATTTTGCTGTCTTTTTGTGTTCCATTCAGGCTGGGAAAATTACATGAAAAAACAGCCAAATGTACATTAAGACTTTTAAAAGGCTTGGTCAGGCCTTAAGAAAAGTGTCTTTTGCGGATTTATAATTGAAAGTTTACAAATTTCTTTGCATTTTAGATCATATAGGTGATAGACCTGATCACAGACGGATGTCTTCACGCCATCGTTCAAAATTAGGCCCTCAAGATAAGCATTTTGCTGTAGAGTCAAGGAATGAACGAAGACCCAGGCATGAAGTGGACAAACACAGTAATAGTAAGTTTCGCATCGTTTAGCAACTTTACAATCCATTCATCAATCTTGTTTGATGAGACAACTCCTCATTCTAAGAGAAAATTCTACATAATCCTCAAGAAATGATGGTAATCTATTTAATGATTATTTGAACAAGAATGATTTTTCCAAATCATGATTTCTAGAACGCAGTATGAGCGTCTTTTCAAAATTCATCAAAGTGAAAAGTGAATTCCACTTTTTATGCAAGAACTATCCCATAATTGTTACGATGATTTGCATTTTAATTTCTTCTTGGCAAGGAAAATATGTGTGCATGATAAATTAATTTATGGGTGAATTTTGGCCCTGAAAAACAACAGAGAAGTTAATAAGCTGACTTTAGAATTAGTATGCAAGTCACACAATTTGAGCCTGCCTAAATTGCAATTGATCTGTTAAATGGTCAATGAACGAATGGGTTGAATATAATATATTTATGAATGAATTCAGAAGAAAACAATGCACTGAAGTCTAATGAGGTATTGTATTGAGCAGTTTTTATGAGTTGCCTATCATTCTTTTATTTACTCATGAATGATTGATTGCATATATATTCAGCTAAATAATTTTTCATTTCTAATAGGTGGAGCGTCAGATGGATTCTCTGGATCTCATTCCACATCTCACAGTAAATCTAATCAAGATAATGAAAACTCCAATGAATCTTCTACCTCAAGTAAAACTACATCATTCCTTGGAGAGTTACCAAGTTACTCTGTTACTGAGTTGGTCCAAAAATTGTTTGCTAAAGGTATGCTAGGTAAGGCTGTTGAAGAAAAGAAAGAAGAAACTCCCAAGGCTGTTGATTCAGAATTAAAGCAAGTAGATTTCACGAAACCTGAAACATTAAAAGTGTAAGTACTTCAATTTATTTTTATTATTACGCTCCTTTCTATTCTATTCTGTATTCTATCCTTGATTTGCAATTTCATATTGAATGAAATTGAAAATATTACTGATATCATCTCAACAAAGTTCACTTCTTGATCGATCATGTAAAAATTGAGAAAGGGAAACATGGACCGTAAACTGATTGCGGTTCGAGGAACGTGTCGTTCAGCCATAGTGTCGGTGATTATGTTGACATGCACTAAAATTCAGTTGAAAACTGCTTTTCGCATTAAAGTGTGAATGACTCATTTGAGATCGCAACACATCACAGGTGAAAGGATGAATAAACATAGTATGTACCAGCTTGTCATAACCTTCTATTTTCGCATAGCTTTTTTGAAGAAAGAAGATTTTTAAAAAAAAACAGTGATGGTCTCTCAAACATAGGATCAGATGCTCATTAATTTTGGTCAGATCAATAAGCGGCTTGTTTTTCTCTCCTTTACATTTTTAAATAATCCTGTACTTAGCGCCCATCCTCTGTTAGAGTTGATGCCAATTAAGTTTAAGCACTTTTAGACTGCTACTACAGATCATCTGACAACACATTTATATGTAACGTAAATGCAAGAATCAAGATGGCAGATCCTTTGTGGCAGTCTAAAAGCATGGATACTTATTTGGCGGTCTCTGTTCAACAAGCCCTAGGCAACCTTTGTTTGATTTTATCAAACACGTGGAAAATTGAACCAGGGACCACCTAATCCACTGTGCCAAGACTTCATTTGTCCAAACTTTCTGTTGCTTTAGAATACTCATTTAAAGTAAACGTCCATGCTCATGCTCTCATTACAAGAATACACACAAAATTTACATCTAAAAAAGCACTGAAACTGCAGCAAATACCTAAATAATGAATATGAAATCACTGTTAACTTGGTCTGTTTTTTTTCCAGGAGGCAACCAGCAATGATCACCAAATTGTATTCAGGACAGCAGTGCAGCACATGCGGTTTAAGATTCTTAGATGGATTAACTGACAAATACAGTCAACACTTAGATTGGCATTATCGACAAAATAGACGGAAAAAAGATATGGCACACACAGTTCAAAGTCGACAGTGGTACTACGATATATCAGACTGGATTCAATTTGAAGAAATCGAGATCCTAGAAGAAAGAGGTAGTTATTTTAACATACTTTGCACCAGTCTCTCGGCAGTCTCTTTTGCTTTTGAAAGAAGTAATTGAAGTGGACAATTCAGTTTTTTTCCTTCCTTTTATCAGTATTTCATTAAAGTATGAATTGCATTGTGTGTCAAGATGCGTTTTTATGTAAAGTTCTTTCAATGACATGGACTCCAATTTTAGTCGTCCATCTAAACAACAATTTATACTTTTTCCATGGTCATATTTCATGCATAAATAAAATGTGAATGATTTTTTAAATGAAATTTTTGTTTACTTTGCTTCCAGCCCAGAGTTGGTTTGAGTCTCAGGTGATCGATGAAGAGGGCCGAGAGATTCCAGGAGAACTGGTGAGTGTGCCTGCTGGTAGCGACTTAGCTGAAGGTGTCTGTGTACACTGCCATGATCCTTTTGAGTTGTTCTACCATGCAGAAGCCGAAGAGTGGCATTTTCGGCATGCCATTTGCGTCGATAAGAAGTTGTATCATCCTGTTTGTCATCAAGATTGGCTGGTAAGTTCAAGCCTCTACTTCTTAAAATAAAATGCAAATTATCAACCCAGGGTCATATAAGCACAGGAAAAAGTGTGAAAAGAAATGAGAAGAATGTTTAAGGGATTGTAAAAATTAAGTTTTGTCTAGGCTGTACATATCAGTGATATCTTACTCAAATAAAATAGAAAGCCAAAACAATCTGAAGCCATAAACTGCAATACTTCAGAAAGTCAACCAGCCGTTCTCAACCTTTTTTGACTGCTGATCACTTTTTTGCCAAGGGAAAAGGCTGCGGACCACTAACAAAAACGCGCAACTTTTTTTGCTCTAATGTTGTGCTTTTTCAATTTGACTTTTACTATTTGTTTCACGAAAGGGAAGGGGGGGGGTATCTTAATTGTCATTTCTTAATGAGAGCGCCTTTGCACCAGATTGTCAAAATCCGAATAAATGTTGGCAAGTTGGTTCCAAAGTTCCAGCTCCCTGTTGATCAGTCTATCGCAATACTCATCATTATTTATTAAACATTTATTTGTATTTTCAGTGGTTGGATATGATTTTTCCACTGATCTTGATTCAAGGTTACTGCTTATTAAGCTCATAAAGTTTAAATTAAAGACTTAAGCAATGATTCAAACTCACCTCTTGAGTTTTAAGTGCCATCTAGTTCGTTAAACTAATTTTTTAGAGGTCATTGAAGTTTTTTTAGGAGCTAAATTGAATTTTGCGATTACCTGCTTGCTTTACAAGTTTGGTTCTGCACAAACTGATAACAAATCATGAAATAGGTTCAGATTTGTGACAATTTTAGGGTCTTAATTTTTTAGATGTCATGGCTGATTTTGTAGAAGCATTTGACTCAATGGCACACAAGGGTTTGGAACACTGAGACTAGGAATTATTTATGTAACATGTAACCGTCTAAGTTTCAAGCAGTAGGCTATTTTTTAAGGCTATCGGCTTTTGGGGAAAGGAAATAAGTTGAATTTCCTTTTACTATGAGTTCTAATTTTTTTTCTCTCTTTTTTTCAGTTGTCATTAGAGGTGGAGGCTGAAAATGCACGTAAAGAGTTAGAAGAATTAGAGACCAAGAAATTAGAAGAAGAAAAGAAAAAGGAAGAAGAAAAGAGGATAGAAGAAGAGAAAAAGAAAGAGGAAGAAATAAAGAAAGAAGAAGAATTGAAAATGGAGGAAGAAAAAGGAAAAGAAAGTGTATCAGTGAAAACTGAAGTGACAGAAAGCGACTCTGAAATGACTGGTAATGATGCTGTGAAGTCAGAAACGGAAGTGAAAATAGAGAGTAATTCAGGCTCCGGTGCTGTGGAAGAGCTGGTCGTTACCATCAAAGAGGAACCAATGGAAATTTCAGTTGAAGAAGGTGTGTACTTTTCCAGATTGTTGCAAAATAATAGCTCAAATTATCAGGAGCCAGAATTATATCTTTATCCCTTTCATTGGCAGGACAGTAATCGTGCACTGTGATCGAGGGGCACTCTGTCTATATGTGACCAGATGTGTGAAAAAGGACCTTTTCTTCTGGGATTAAATTTTCCTTAACTTTATGCTAAAACTTGAACCATGTTTTACTATGCACCAAGAATTTTTGTTGCGGAACCTCAGGACTAATATTTCCTTCAATTTTTAAAATTTCAGAATCTGACTTGCGCCAAAATTTCCAAAATTGTTTCCTCCTCATATTTGCAAAAAGGAAAGGAAAATTTTCTCCTAAAAGACAAGGTCCCTTTTCATAGATCTGTTCACACTTGTGGCTGTTGTATATTTACCCTTGCTTACATGATGTATGTGCTACATGCTTAATTTCAGAGTGGGAAATACAAAGGCATAGCTTAAAACGAGAATTCTCAGCTGTGGTTCACAGCACTCACATCTCGCTGCACGAGAATTAGTATGGGTGGCCGTAAAAGAGTTTATTGAATGTTATTTTGATCATTTATCAATTAAAAAAATTAGAATAAAATATAATGGTACAGTTGGTGCAATTCAAAATCTCAGCCCTACGATCTCCATTAACTCGCCTTTTCCTTTTTCTTCTTTCAGGTGACTCCTCCAAAATGAAAACAGATGTTGACTCAGAGGCAACTGCAGAGCAGCCAAAAGAGGAGATACTGGAGAAAATGGAAACAGAAGACTCAGATTTACAAACAGAAGTAGTTATTGCTAACATAGAAATTAAAAAAGAAGATACAGATTTGAACGTGGTGGCAGATTCCCAAGTTGATACAACATACGCTGGTGTCACCAGTTCTATAGATGGGAATGTTGAATTAAAAGAGTCCTCACAAGAGACTGTTCGATCTTCTGGCAAGATCAAAATAAACATCTCCAAACCAGTCCTTTCCCCTGCAATCCCAGAGGAACCAGTTGAACCGGAGCCGATGGCCGAAGAGTCTGAACCAATAGGCGAGCCAGCATCAGGTGTAACCATTGACCCTAACGAACCGTTCCCACCTGGCCTCGAACCAACTGAACCTGTAGTTAAATTGAAGCCGCGCTTAGTCGGTAGGAAGTTAACAGAGTACCCTCCGATATCCAAAGGCACTGAGCTCTCTGGTTTGTGTTCAATCATGTAATTCAACTAGCGCAAAGGGACCTCAAAATTCACAAGATCTCAAGTGATAAAAACACTATTTATTTTTACCAGCTAACTTGAAACTCGACGGTTTAAACCCATGTGTGTCAAGATTTAATGTCACAGGTTGGACGGCCAAAGACTCAAACAGAGGTCACTCCCTTGACTCTCATTGAGTGTAAAAGAACTTTTTTTTTTTTTGTTTTGCGTTAATATAGCAATGCTCATTTGGCTTGTCAATAGTTTGATGTGAGGAAAAAAAGATTTTAGAAACCACACCGAGACAGAATTTACTCAAAGTGACATTTTGCACTCCTGCCAGGTAGAATTTCACATCAAATAATGATATAAGCCACTGTCAAACGATTATTTCCAGCATATTTCTACATCATTTTCTGATGTCATCTTGGTGGAAAATTTTAGTCTGGTTGAATCAAAATGAAATTTTCCTCTAGTCTTATGCAATATTTTTAAATGAGTTTTAAAAAAATTCAAAACAAACATTTTTAATTTTTCACGCTGAAACAAAGTTAAAATTGACTTTCTTTCAATTCAATACTGCTGCATTTTACTTGTTGATGAGCATTACTCGAAGGAAGAAACTATTGAAAAGTCAACTGAGCTTGCTTATTAACTCACTGTAAGATGTGAGTGTACTTATTTTTTCTCAATTATTAGCTTCGTTTTTTACATTAAAATATATTTTTCTTGACAGGAAAGAGGCGGGGGAAAAATAAGAAAAAGTTCAAGAGAAGGAACTTTAGTAATGTACATTCTCTTCTGAAATTGACAGGTCCCAACATTTTGAAAATGTGGACTTGAATGCATAAAATGTGGGGTGTGAAGTAAAGCCCATAAAACTTGCAAAGTTAAGCTTTTTTTAATTGCACCTCACTAAAAAATTTTTGTTTCCTCCCACAAAAGATCTTCAATTTGCATGTACGATTAAAAAAATAATCTCCTAAATTTTAGCAAAGAAAACTTTATATCTCATAAATTTTATTTGTTAATAACTTAGTCGTTTGAAAGTAGAGTAGTAAAACAGATTTTGAGGGATATATTACTGAAGCTAGTACACTCTTATCTTACAATGACATCCATTGTGTAATGTTACTGCTGCAAATTTTGTTATACATTTCTGACTGCAGTACAAGATCCCTACAATTTACTCACTGTACACTGTAATGTAACTTAATATTTTCTCATTATCAATTTCATTTTTGTCAGACGTCAAATCCAAAGTTAGTTGAAAAACTAAAAAAGTCTTGCTCGGAAACATTAATACTGTGGTCTGTCTTCAGTCCAGATTTGTGTACATTCTGAGCTTTTGAGACCCTAAAAAAAGATTGCTTGGAAGAAGAGCTCACCTCGCTCTTCCTAAATTTTATATCCTTTACTAAAAGCCCAGAACGTTCTCTTTTAAAACTTTATTGCTCAATCAAATGCAAGCAATCAATGCATTAATGCAATTTTAATGATTCTTAAAAAAGTTGAGCGCCCGGAAGTGCTGTTGACAGATGTATGGAGATTTCAGAAAGAGTATCTAATACGATAAAAATGAAAGGAATTGACATCCCAAAAATACAGCGTATTCTTCTCAGTTTTTATCATTTGAAATATCTCAAATGCGCAGTACATCAATTTTATCAAATCTTTTCAAGTTTCAGGAGTGACACCTGAAACTGGTTGGCTCCATTCTCGAATCTCTGTTACGTTTTTTAAACTTATTTTTTTTGTTTAAATTGTATGAAAGTGAAGAAAATGAAGTTAGAGAAAATTACGTAACTCTTTCCATCAGTTTGATAGAAAGAAAAATTTAAGAAAAGGGGGGAAAACATATGTTTAACGTAAACAATTTTGTTTTACAGCTGTCTTTTCCTTCTTTTTTTAAGTTTTTATTCTATTTATATCATAATTGTGTCTGACAGTGATGTTGATAGTCCAAGTGCAAAACTATTGTGATGTTCAGAAATCTGTGCTCCAATATTATTTTTTCAAAGAGGAGCATGTCAATTTTATAGTTTAAAATTAATTCAGAATATTCTGCTAACAGAGACTAAAAACCAAGGAAGTTTTCAAGATATTAAGTTGACTTTTTTTCCAAAGAGAAGATAAAGTATGACTTGAAGTCCAGAACATTGCAAACGGAGTTATGTGTTTCGCACTTTGGCCATTGATATAATCCACTCTTGCAGCTCCTTTAACTAGTGTGTTCTTTTGTCTTGCTTAGGCTCATCCCATTGGTTGTAAATTTTTGCTCAAATGTCTCAATTTCAGAGATTTAGATTGTATGTACTGATGCTGAAATGACAAGCCTGCAAATTTTGGGTCAAAATTGTTTCTGAACTAAAAAAAAAAGAACTCTGGTGTATTTTCAAGAGATCAGTTTGGAATAAACATCAAAAATATCCTATCGCCCAAAAAATGTCTGGAAAATATGATCTTCTCTAAAAAAAGTCCTTCTTATAGCAGAGAGTTCAAAGTCTCTGGAAAATCCTGACTTGATTGAATTTATTTGATATTTTTCCCAAACTCAATTCAAAAAATTAGAAAGGACTGCCTAATTATCTCAAAAAATAGACATGACCCTAAATTTGTAGGTCCATGCAATCGTATTATCAGTCAGTTTTAAGAATCATGTAACAATTTTTAGGCCTTATCTTGGCTTTAGGCACTAATTCACTGAAGTTTGAAGAAAACCATCATCTTCTCCAATCATTGTTTGAAGTGGATCATTCTTCAGTATTGTGTAAAGACCTCAAGCACTGAATATTTGAACATCATCCTCCCAGAATTGATTGTTATCCTGTTGCTGAGTCGTACATGTTTTTCTTTTCCTTTCCCCCCCTCTCTCTCATTTATTTTTTCTTTTCTTTTTTTTACTGCAAAGTGTGCTTTTTGGTCTAGGAATTAGTTAAAATGATTTCAAAAGAAGTTATACTTTCTTTGTGTTTTTCCTTGCTGATTCTAATCACTATTTATGGAGAAATAATAATTGTGATTTAATTTTTACATGATAAAATGTCAATGTGATATATTTTTGTGAATTTCTCTAGTTATGTATAGTATTTTGTCTCCCAAATCACTCTTTTTTATTTTATTTTTTATTTTGAATATTTTTCAGTGGTTTAAGAGAGATATGTAAAATGAAAAATTGACTCATTTATTATTTTATTTTGAAATTGTGTCATAGCTGGTAAAATTTTACCAATTGTCTCTCTTGTACTTCAATGAATTGATTTATTCCCATTATCAATTTTATGTTTCATTGCAAGACAAATTCTAGGTAATCAGAAGGGAGAATGTAATTTTCTTTTGGGGAGGGGGAAGGGGGTTGTTATGTTAGTGTATAGAACTCGTTTGTTTTCTCTTGAAATATTGATCCTTGTATTAAATAATAGAATTATTTTAGATGATCAAGAGAATTTATTTTTAAGGCATGATTCTGTAATCATTTTTTTGTTTGTACAGTGAAATAAACCAGATCAAAAAGAGTAACTGCTGGTCCCAGTAACTTTGAATATGAGATGCTTTTACCGGCAAATATAATCATTCATAGCCAATGAATCTTGATATGCCTTTTTTAAGATGTACAGTGTAAAATCTTATAAATATTTGTAATTTTTCTGTTAAATTTTTAATGCAGTTGTTTATTTTTTGTAAAGAAAAAATGTTTTGAATTATAAAAAATATAAAAAATCTGAAAAAAATAATAAAATTTAAAACCTATTAAAATATTTGTTGTTTGTATTGTGATCATCCATACTAAGCTTCATTGATAAACCTTATTAGGCTAATGGCTCTGTTTTAGCCACTATTATCAGTCATTATAACTGTTTGTCGACAGAGACATCTACCCTCCAAAAAAAATGAAAGCCCTCGGTGAATGAATGAGGTAGGACTCATTTTTGAGGAAAAGATGAGATATTGGTGACTTTGAGAGAAACTTGTTTCCATATAAACTTTACCAAAATGTGACCTCAGAAAGTATTCATAGCTGTGCACACTCAATAATTTTAACTTTTGAAAGCCCCAAGACTCAGTGTACCTAAGTTTTAAAAGTGAATTTCATTTTTCTCAGAATCACAAAAATTCTACCTCCTTCATTTACTTGGGGCTTCTGTCAGCAAATTAGGCATGTCAGGAAGACAAAATAATGAATTATTTCATTTGTTTTTGAGTTTTTCTATGATGATGGCCTGTGAGATCTTTGAATCAACAGGGCGTCAGACCGAAATTAATGCAGTCCCAAATATACCTCTAAAAGCTTGGATTTTCAGCTTTCTAAGGGTATAAAAGTATTTGCCCATCAGATCAATTACTCTAAAACTGTAAATGTATTTTGCCGTGGCCACCTTGAACTATTTCCTGCCACCTCTTTTTATACGAGGTTTGTTGCCTGAAAGTTAAATTTTTGCATGGATTTGCTGTAAGATGAAAAAATCAAAATCGACAGCGTAAGTCCGCAATCACATATCTTGTTTGCGGTGTCTGAAAATCTCCGCCTCTGTTATTTTTTTGAAAGGAGAACAAATTGCCATCATTCCTTGAAGTTTATGCAGAATTTTCTTCGCACTGAGAAGAAAAATCATGGCAGTTTTAAGGAATTGCTGTTGAGTAGTTCTCCGTCTAAGAAATAAAGTATATCTGCTACGTTTCAAACCGAGTTATGTGATTGCAGACTTACATCGTCAAAATGCTCTCAGGAAAGGAAAAAGTTGGGAAGGTCATATTTTTAATTTTGTCGAAAACAATAATTTTTCATATTTGAACTGATTGGTTTAATTTCATTTTCACTCAAACCATGTCCAAAGCATAGGTACCTACCTCTAATTTAATTTTTTGCTTAATTTCAGTAATTTTCTTGCAAATAATGCAAGTTGCACAATCCTAGCTACATTGGAATGCACTTCAATATGTTATCCAAAGTCCCTTTCCCCGCCACCCTAAACATGTCATGTAAGAAATGAAATTTGCATACTTGACTGTTCGAAGGCGTTTTAATGATTCCGTACCTTCATGGTGCGCTCTCTACTGTCGTACCATCCAAATACTATTGGAGAAAACTTACGTAAATTTTAGACAGAGGTCAGTAGCATCAGATTCGAGATATCGGTGTTCGATTCGATTGCCAATATCCGAAAAGGAAATTGCGAAAACAATGCAAAAATCAGCCGTGTTTTCGGTCTCGTTTCGTTGTTATCAAAACACATTTCGGGTAATCGCGTATCAATAATTCCGTGTTTTCATGCCTCGTTGGCACTTGTGTTTTTATCACATTAGCTTAAAAGCTTCCCCTTTCTGTTTTAGGTAGCATTTTAAATGTGTTAGTCTCCATTTAGTGCCTCTTTCAGCCTCGAGCAAGTAGGAACAGTGGTTATTGTTTACATTCAACTAACTAGGGTTACACCATGATCCTTGTTTTTTCTTGCAAATTCTAAGCAATGGAGAGTATTTTTCCGATTCTCTTACCACGAAAAGTAAACTTTTGAAGGTATGAATGCTACCATGTACCATGAGCCGAACGAATCTCTGTCGGCTAATCATCATGGATACAAAAGTTATGATGTGTCTTCAGCGGTTGATGATACGTCTTACAAGAAGAACTTGATCTCCATCAATGATCCTGTGCCTCGAACAGCGCACAGAAATGATACTAAAGAAGGGCTACTCAATGTTCGAGCCCTTTTTTTTCTAGTGCTTTGGTATGTGTTCAGTGGATGCACTCTTTTTCTCAACAAATACATTCTTCACTATCTGCGGGGTGAACCCATCATTCTAGGTTAGTTACGCTTCACAGTTATCACAAGTCCTTTTATCAGCAATAGAGTATCTAAGAAAAATTTCTTATACTTGACTGTCCGTCATGATTTGTCTATTATCTTTTAGTCAATAAGGATCACAAAGTTTATATCCAAGCTGCGTTCAGCGTGTCTTGAGTGTTAGGTAAATTATTTCTCCTTTACAGCTTGTCCAACCATTGTAATTAAAGATAAGGTAAATATTTAATTGGCATTTGCAAGGTTTCCTTATATACAGTCTAAAGTGAAGGACTTGCCAGAAGTATACTTATCATCCACCGGAGTAGGGAACTTTTGCCAGATTCATATCCCTCACTAACACCTGTTTCACCGCTAGCTACTCCAGGATCCTCGATCAGGCTATTTGTCCCCTTGTACACAATGTCTAAAGGAAGGTATAGGGATCCAATGCCGAAATAAAGCAGATCTCATAGTTAATGTCAGGGAAGTTTCAGTTAAATTTTGAACCTTTCCTCTAATCTGATTGGGTACAAAATCACGTATCCTTTAGAATGCAGTTTCATCTCCAAGGCAAACTGTCTTTTAGCTCCTCAATGTGCAGTTTGGATTTATTTATCTCAAATATGCATTGCCATTTACCTTTTGCAAGTTTTTTTTAATCAATTAAGCATCACTCAACTCTTAGTGTGATAGTACTAAAGTTGGGAAATAATTAGGTACCCCCCAAAAAAATAAAAAATAAAATTTTCATAGTCGTCTAAACCCATTTGTTTGTCATTTTGCTGTAGGAACTTGTCAGATGCTGATGACCACTCTGCTTGGGTTTGTACAAATGTACTTTCCTTGTGGAATGTATAAACCAATGAAACGCTTGCTCCGACCCCCAGGATTTTACAAGCATATGGTTTTGGTTGGATGCACCAGGTGAGAACAACCACTTGTTCCTTTTCATTTTAAATTCATCAGAGAAAAAAATCTTTTACATGGACAGTGAGCAGAACTGTGTCTGCAATAACTCCTTAAGTCGACATTTAGTAGCATTAAGTTTCATATGAGCATTGCTATTCTTTGGGTCCAGGACCTTAATATTATTAACGTCAGCAAATTTTAGCAGGGATACAGAAAAGTTCTAATCCTGCTCTCAAGTTCAGTTTTTCAAATTCAGCCCTAGTTTTGATCTAAATTCATGATTAGTCTCCTGAAAGACTGAAACAGATAAAAATATTTATCATTGAGAAATGGTATTCATCTACCGCCGAAGATAAAAAACTGAGAGCTCTCTCCTATTTTTCTTGCATCCACAGAGTTTGTCTCATTTTAACAGCCTCTGTTCACACAATAGGGCAAGGTTTTGCCGCACATATATCACCGTGTTTCCTATGTAGGTACCTTGTAATAATCTTTGTTCAATGTGACCAAACAAAGCCATTATTGTAATATAATGTAAATCAAAATATACAAAAATATTACTTTTGTTTTCTCCTCTCGGGCAATGAAATTTGTAACATCAGCAAGTAATTTGCAGCCGTATTTAATTGAATCAAATAACTTCTCCTATCATTTTGGTGGTCGGTTTATTATCACATTGCTGTGCCATTACAGTTAACAAATGACTTACTTACCTTATCTATGACAGCCCTTATCTCTGAAAATCATAAGTAGAGTTTACTTTCGTTGAGAATTGTTTTTGAATCCTTTCACCAAATTACCTCTGATATTTTTCTGTATTTCAGGTTTATGACGGTGATTTTGGGTTTAGTATCACTCAACTATGTTGCTGTGAGCTTCACAGAGACCGTTAAAAGTTCTGCTCCTCTCTTTACCGTTGTTATCTCAAGATTACTTTTAGGTATGTTGAGTTTTTGAAAATATTACTGCAGTTTTCACACAATCATCTGCTTTATTGACAACTTGTCATTTAACAAATCTGGTCTCTAATAAATCCTTAAAGACAGCAAGGGTACAAGCAAGGCTTTTTCTCCCAAGTTTCTGCTGTATTCTGAGGAAAACTTCTAAGTCCTTTCAGCCTAAAAATTTAGAAAAACAATCAAAAAGGTGAAATCAAGCACATGTATTAATTCTAACTTGTTTTTAAGCTGGCAAGTTCTTCAAGTGATCTCAAGTTTTACATAAATCTGGAAAATGAAATGAAGAATTTTATTCAGCCATACGTATACTGCCGTCCAGAATCTGGTTTCATTAAAGAAAAGCAAAAATGATATTTCTTGGAATTTTGTGGATTTTTTTCGTTTTACGATCCTAATCAAGCCATTTTCTGTAGAAAGACACTAACTTTGCAGTGTTGTATGAATCATGTAACTCAGTGTCTAATTTGCTGTTGAACTATTTAGAGGCACTCCTCAAATTTTTCTCAAAAAATATTTTGTATTTTTACTCATTTTTTTTGGAAAATAATTAGCATGGGTGCTTGAAGGTTAATTTGCTAAAAATAATGCGGGAACTTGTACCATCAAATCAGCATTATGAGGACTAAGTGTCATTCCTACTAAGGATGGCTTGATTTTAATAATAAAAATGGGTATGTAGATTTCATCCATCACAATTCCCTGTATTTGTGGTGGGAGGAGGACAAATCCAATTCTTAACAGTTAGACATCTCTCATAATATCCTACAGCTTAACTTGTTTTCTATTTCACCTAATTTGTTCCCTTTATCATCTCTTTTCAGGTGAATACACCGGGCTGTATGTCAATCTTTCTCTTATTCCTGTCATGACAGGACTAGCTTTGTGTTCCATGAATGAATTAAGTTTTAATATGATAGGTTTTTTTGCTGCATTGGCCACAAATTTAACAGAATGGTAAGTTTTTTTTTTTTTTTTTTTTTTTTTTTTCAATTTTTAATTTTTGCAGGTCTTTCAGTGCAAAAATAGAATAGTTATTTAACAGTAGGTAGACATTTTTATTACCCATAGAAAACATTAAGTATGGAGATCTTAGCAAATACTGAGAGGAAAAAAAGTACTACTTAAAAAAAAAGAGAAAAAAAAGAGGAGAAGCAGCACTTCAACAAATTTGTAAAAGAGATTTAGTAGGCATAAGGCTCATGTAGAACAGAAACAAGTTTTTATATTCCTAGCGTAAAAAAATTGAAAATTTTAACGATCATACAAGAAATTAAGATTTCAGTAATTGAAGATATATTATCAGTAACAGTCTAAGTGTCAAAAAATCGGAATTTGAGTCAGACATGCCATTTCTTCTTAAACACCATAAACAACATGCTGCAAAAGAAGCCATTAACACAAGAGAAATGCATCTAACAGCTAAAAGATAGCATTAATGTCATTTCTGCTACAGTTTTCACATACTTAATTTTAACTCAAAATCACCTTTCTGGCACTCAAGTAGTCTGTTATTAATGATATCTTCTATGAAAGAATTTAAATAAATGAAATCAATGGTTTAAATTCAATAAGCTTTCTTGAACTAATGTTTGTATATGGTTTCACTAAACACACCTCATGGTCTCTTTGAGCATTCTCTCTTATCCTGTAGTCGCCTTTGAGCCATGAATTAGTTCTGAACTTGTCTGACTAATTTTTATCTCTCTCTCTAATCTTGTTTCTAACTTACCTTTTTTTCAGTTTACAGAATGTTTATTCTAAAATGCTGATCAGTGGTGAAAATTTCAAGTACACGTAAGTTACTCTTAATGGTCACCTTAAAATATTTCTTACTGTATCTTGTAATTTCTAGATTGTTTCACAAAACAAGTCCTTATTATAATCCTTACTGCTTCCAAGAGGATTAAATTTTTCCATCTATTTTATAGACAGTTTAAGACATTTCCTCAATCGCTTTATAGGTATTCTATATTTTTCAAAGAAAATATGATAGTGATCAATGCAGAGTATCCTGTTCCGAAGGTATATTGTCAGTGAAACTTCCTATCTACGTACCTTGTTTGCAGTGTTTGAAAATCTCTGTTCCTATTTTATTTTTTCAAAAGAGAACATATTAACACCATATCTTGAACTTCTCTCTGAATTCTCCTTGCAAAAGAGAAGAAAAGTCACTGAAGTTTTTAAGTTTTGACATTGAGTAGTTCTCTATTTAGAAAATGAAGAATGATAGGAAGTCTTTGATGTTGTAAACTGAGGTGCATGTTTTGGGAGTTTCACTGTAGATATGTCTGTGTACAGAAAAAGTGGCTTAAGTGCAAATAGACGGATTTTTCCTAAGTTGGATTGGAAATTTGGAAATTAATTTTTCAATCAAAACACTCCTTAAAATCCTGTAAAATATGTTAAGAGTAGTTTAGTTCATTTTTGTGCCAAAACTTGTGTAAAAATGAATTTTAACCTGAAAATTTAAAGTTTTAAACTGTAATAGTTTTTTTTTTTTTTTTTTTTTTTTTTTTTTTTTTTTCTTTCTTTATCAAAACTACAATTTTTGAAATGCAGACTTCATCAAATTTTCATTACTCTAGTTGAACTCCACATTTCATTTTGGTGATTCTCCTGCCCAAAATACCCTGCAAAACCACTGGGGGATTAGTGGCTCTAGCACATTTTGATGAGACTTTAATTTAGGTTAACATAAAGTTTTGTAGGCCCAAAGCCAACAGATTAGGCAATTCGCTCAGATAGAAACCTAGCTATTTGTAATATAACATTAACATAAATTTCTGTGCAGTAGAGGTACAAAAATTGCTCTGCATTGCCTTTCTCTGCCTTTTTGGAATACTCTTGGGCCAGCGAACCCCTTGTATTTGTGTATTCCTGAGCATTAAATATGACCATTTTTTATTCACATTAGAAGGAGTAAGGATCTAAGTAGGCTAAATTAGGAAGGGTGGCAGGGCAGAGTAGGGTTGAGAATAACGTAAGATGAGACATCTTTCATCTCAAGATGAGGAAACTGAGTGCGTACCTTGTCAACCTGGTTGAATCTGAAATAGCACACTCAAACTATGAAATGCTCTAGAGAAGTCAATTTTTTATTTATTTACTTTTTTTTTGGGGGGGGGGGGGGGAGCAAATGATTCAGAATGTATCCCTTGATGGAGAAGTATAGTTATCTCAATTTTTATTTTTTCACCTTGAGTTTCCTTTTCCTCAGGTGCATCACACCTTATTCTCTCAAGTTTTAGAATATTAAAAGTGTGTTTTGTTTTTTCAATGTTTCCAGACCAGCTGAATTGCAGTTCTACACAAGCATAGCATCAATCATTGTACAAATTCCTGCAACCTTGTTTCTATTAGACTACTCCGAAATTCGAGAATCAAAGCATCCATTTACGCTGTTTTGTTTCTTCCTACTGAATGGTGCTTTTTTCCATTTCCAGTCCATCACTGCCTATGTTTTGATGGACTATGTTAGTCCTGTTACACATAGGTGAGTTAATTTGTCAGTAGTAATCACTCAACTTTACCCTCTACTTTACCCCTGACAATAGAGTCAACTTAAAACGATTTTCTAATTGTCTTTCAGTTTCACTAATGATCTACCTAATTTAGCATATGCAAGTGTGGTCTACAACATGCCTTTGCTGTATATATGATGATGAAGCTGTGGTTAGGAATATTTGTCTGGCTAAAGTATATTTTCATCTCATGTAAAAATTTGTGAAAAAAAGAAGTTCATTGAAAAGTTCCAAAAAAGCATTTCCTAAGAGCCAATCTGTATTCAACCAATCCAAAGCCGACAGTCGAGTTGACATAGCAAGGCAATGCCTGAAGGTGATTTTAGCCAATCAACAAACGCAGTTTCTTCCGCCTGGCTACGTTATATGAGCCAACCAAAAATATTATCTCAAACGGGTCCCATTTTTGGCATTTTTGACATATTGACTGATCAGCTAGTCTAGTTACAGGATGCCAGATGAGGGACTATAGAAGAGGATGCTGGTTTGGATTTCTCCTAGAAAGAGATGAACGGAACGCTCAGTTAAAAATAGCGACAGGGGATGATGCATGAAATGAGGGAGTGTCAACTCTTTGAAGGACTTTGGGAGGATGATGGACTCTAGCTGCCCTGCATTAATCTCTGTCTTGCATGTATTGACAAGTTTGTTTTTAGCGCTTCACTAATCGTTAGTAGCTGTGATGCCTAGTCAAGTTGGTAATTTTTTTTTGTTAAACCAATCCTGAATCCAATAAAATTTTGCTTCCTTATTTTTAAGGAGCAAGATAAATTCCTTTGTTCACAGCTTGAGTTTACTAAACCCAGGTTTTAAAGCGAGCTTATCACATCGTATCTGTAGAAGTTGGATTATTCTAACACTTCCCTCTGAGTGTAAAATTTAGTTGCTAATCTTTTACACACGTTTTTTTTTCTGTTTGTTCCAGTGTCATTAATACAGTTAAAAGAGCTTTCCTTATTTGGCTGTCTGTAATACTTTTTGGAAACAGTATTACTTTACTTAGTGGTCTAGGAACAGCTATTGTGATAATAGGAGTAATGCTTTACAATAAAGCACAAGAATTAGACAAGAAATATAGGCTTTTAGCTGCGGTAAGTTTCCTCATTAGTAGATTTCTATCAAACTGTTTTTACTTCTTTAAATCTTTTATCAAGAGTCCCATTGCTGTACAGAGGAGGCTGAGGTACAGATAAAGAGCAAAATAGCCAAAGGATAAAGAGCGGATAAATAAAACTCACTTGTAACATCAAAATTATCATGGTAGATGCATTTCAAGCTGCAGTCCATACTCAGTACAACTGATTGCCAGTGCATGTTATCCTTTATTTGTTCCAGGCTTAGTCACATTTTTTCACTGCTTCGTCCTATTTTTATGGTTGCCTTTGGACAGAAAATCATCCTAGAACCAGCTTCCAGTGTAAATGATCCTCTTTCTCGAAAATATTCCCAAAAAATTATTTGAAGGACATTCTTAAATTGAATGGGTCATTCATTAAAAGTCCCAAGTGGCAAAAAATTGAAAATTGAGTTTTTGGTGGCTCAATATTGCCTAGACACAGATGCAATTTACTGCAAAATTACAACCAAAGAAACGGATTTTTACGGTTTCCAAAAACATCTGGAAAGACCAGTCATTCTCAAAAAGACTTGAGCGCCAAAGTGCCACGCAAGTAATACTCCCTTATCTTGATTTGATCGGATTTGAATCCCTCTTGCAGCCCTCTTAAATTTTCAATAATGAGGGGGTAAATATTTTTTCTTTCAGGCAGAACATGTCTCTGTTTTTGAGATTTCAGGAAGTTTTTGCTTTTGTAAATGATTATCAGTAATTTAATTATGAGTAAGAAGGTATTCATTGTATTTCGTTTTTTTCATAAAATTCTTCTTTTTCTTCTCTCTCCGTTGAAATTGTAGGAAAATTTCTGAATCAACCACAATCCGAATTTAAATTGCAAGACCTCCAAGATTTAGAGCAAGTTGAGTAGAGCAATTTCCACTGTTTTTTGAATTCTCATTTCTAGCGCTGAAGTCTTTCTGAGAATGTCGGATTCATTTGTATTATTGAAATAATTTACTCATCTTTTATTTTTTGTTCTCAGGAGAATTCACCTCTTTTTCCACCTGATCTTTCTCATAAAGTGAGGACAATTTAAAAAACCTTCATCTCCTGTTCTCCGGTGTAGAAATCCATCAACTTGGAGTTTGTATCATCTCTAATTTCTACCTGTTAATTGTAATTTATTTATTTTTTCTAGTTGAAATATTCCTTGTGATATAACCTCTTTTTTAAGGTCCTTGAATTTCTTTCCCCCTGTTTTTAATGTGATCCAATGTCCAATCGATTAATTGCTGGTTGATTGATCTGTCAAATTAAGTTGAAACTTTGCAATTTATCTCTGTCCAATATTTTAATTGTTTTCTTTTTTTATTTCCTCTTCAAGCACGTTTATTTTGATTTTATTATGTAATTTTGTCTATAAGAAATCCTTTTTTTGAAATTTGTAGATGCTTCTTGACATCTCTTCATCTTTTTACTTGACTAAATTTAATTGAAGGGAACCACCTGAAACTTGAACAAAAAATGGGGTGAGTGCCAAGATTCTGGTACTCCTCATCACTAATTAAAAAGTTAATGTTAAGTAGTAATTTTGTGAGACTATCTAACTGATTTAGAACAATTATGGTAGATAATTTGGTGTTTCACCATCTCTAAGTCAGAAGTTGAAGGGAGCATCTTAAAATTTGGTATCTTTGGTAGCTAGGGAGAGCTAACTTAACATGTATTTTGAAAATTCTCTTTTTAGAGTTTTTCTTTTTGAGTCAACCATGATGCATGAATTTCTCTAACTATGCATTTAAATGTAATCTTCTCTGAAGTTTGCACATTTCATCTCAATTTTTTTTTCTTTTTTCTAAATCCTTGTAAATGATGTAAGATTCAGGACCATAGAGGTATCATTTTAGAGGGTTAAAAAACTTACTTAATCGTTCCTATACATTGATATCTCGTTGCCTTTGAGTGATGAATAATAATGGGTCTTCAGACACAGTTTGAATTAAAAAGAAAGTTGCATGTTTTCTCTTCAAAGTCTTATGTAGAAAACAGTGCACGTTATAGGAGTTTGGTGGACAAGATGTCTACACGTATTATTTTTTAACCTAGATTACTTGGAAGTTAGATTTTAAAAATGATGTCATTTTTACTTTTTCAATCGAACCAATGTTAAGTGGGTACTGTGAACACTGGAATCTTTTTTAGGAATTGATTACTAGCACTCATGCTGTGCAATTTCGTTCAACGTGCTCTGTAATTTTGAAGGAGAACATGTTACACAGTGCTTCAATTCAGACCTTGTCTGAAGACCTATTCCATATTAAGCATAATTATGTTGCAAAAGATGTGTATTTTCTTGCAAAATGGAAAGTAGCCATCCTTTATTGATTGTTAGACTTGAACATTAGCATTTTAATTAGCTCCAGAAAACTCAACCGTTTCTGAATAATGAGCGCAATCAAAATATGAAATCTTTGTCAATTAGTTGATGCAATGACCATAAGAGCCTCAAAAGTGCAGCTCAGCTGTCTTCTGTGTGCACCCATGAATGACCCATATCTCTACAGAGAAATTATGTGATACGCTGGCGACTTTAAAACTTGCACCGCATAATGCAGTTATAAATGCAAACATTCTATAAAATCAAAATTGAGTTTGAAATCATCAGAACTGTTGTATCTAATTTATATTGCTTTTTCTTGATAAGGTGCTCCACGCATTTGGATTTTGTGGACTGAAATTTATATCTATTTTGCACCATTGTGAACCTTTTGTCTCAACATCAGAAATTTCATTGTATCTAGCCATGTCATATCTGACGCATTACGCACAAAATCTTTGCCAAATCAGCACTGGTCACTGCCTTCTTTTAAAACCCTTTCATATCCATTTGCATTCAAATTAATGCTAATGGAAGCCTTTTGTCAATGATATCTGATGAAATCAGGTTCTCAGCAAGAATAAGATCTTGATTGCTAAAATTAAAAATCCAGTTTCTAGAAATTTTTTTTCAGATTTTACCATTTATTGATACATCACTGTAAATATATAACTTGTCTAATTATCTAAGCATCTAATTAGCTTATTGTATCGTAAGGGCAGTGCTAGAACAAATGGGTCTAAGGATCAATTTTTTGTCTTAATTTCTTGGTGATAGTGAAGTGAAATTTTTCCGGGAAGACCAAGGTGCATGGTTGTTTTCTCTTCTTATTTTGTGCTCTGTTACATCTTTTTCATTAATGCAGGTGCTGTTTGATTGAGATTTTTAAATCACCCTCAAAATAGCAATCCTTTTGAATGCTCTTCAGGTGAAATAAAGTAGTCGGCTGCCCCCCCATAAAAGAGAATATTTAATACTGAAAAGTCTCCTTCTCCTAGTGACTTTTCAAATTTTTTCCATTAGATCTTCATATCACAGTATTCATTCCTCTTAGCTTCTCTACCTTGAATCTCACATTTACTTGCTTCATTTTTTTAAATCGGCCAAGTGGGAGAGGAGCTAAGATTCTATTTGTTTTCGTGCAATCCCTCAGCGGTTCCATTTGCTACTTTCCGCTGTTAACTTTATGCACAGTGAATCAGACTTCAATGTTGGAAGAACATTGTTTTATGACGGCTCATTCCACCTCTGCATTCTGTCCGATCCTTGAATTCATTATTCAAGTCGATTTTTGTTTGTACTTTTAAATGAAATTCATTTCAACCTCATTGTAATATTAACAGCATTTGAGTATACTTTCTTAGTAGAACTTTGATTCAGTATACTTCAGTTAATTGGATCCTTGTTTGATGGTCTGTTATAAAAGTTTATAAATGAAATGATAAATATTCTTCTGTGAACATTGAAAAGGCAAAAAGCCGTTGATTAGAAACATCTAGGTTTTTGAAGATTGCTGTCAAAGAACCTAGAGCCCAACGTTAATGTTACATTTACTTTACCTCGAAATCCTAATTTAGAAATTTTAACCTCCAGGATAGACATTTAAAAAAATAATTTGGAAGACAACAAACTATTAAACATTTTCAAGCATTTGATGTATCATAAATAATGCCAAATCTATTTTGAAGCTTTTGACAATTGTTGCCTCTACCAGCGTTTTCTTTTTGGGTAGATACAAGAAGAAATTAAAGGTATCCTCTCGCAACGTTTTTCCTTGTGGGAGGCTTTCGCCATTGGTAATTTCGATCACAATCTGATTTTAAAACCTTTTTTCCTGAATTGCTCATTCAAATTAACTGCATTGTCTTACTTTTTCTGTATTAATGATCTATTATTACTGTTTTTATTCCTTAGAAAATTTTTGTACGTATTTTCATGGCCTTACAATGAGGTACTCGGATTTAAAAGAAAGAAAGAAAATAGATGATTCAAGTATGATGCTGCTCATCAGAAGGACCATTACGATGGAAGTTATGACATTCCAAAATTTAAGTCAAAATTGGTTTAAAATTTCAATTTTTGATTCCTCTGATTTCATGTCAGATTACTTAATGAATAATAATCAAACTAAGGTCTTTCCCAATTAAGTGTCATTGCATGAAAGCATGCCTATTCTTGTTTCATGCTGTTACTGAAGCATTGACCTGACTTTTTTGGCCTTTGATTCCCCTACTTTTGATGAGAGTTTTTGTATTTCTGATCTTTACTTAGCATTTTAAGACTAATGAAATAAAATTCTTAGACTTTCTGAAAACTGTAGAAAACTAAGTGACACTCATAATGAAGGAAAATAAAGCAAAAAACTGGAAGCACAAGTCGTTTTACTAATTACTTGTGTTTCATCAGAATCAGTGTTCAAGAATAGTCTAGGTGGTATGTTAAGTGTGGTCGACAGGGCAAACAGCTGATCTGACAAAAAATTTGAAAATTATTTTCTAGAATCATCTACTCTTGTGAAGTAGCCTTTTTTCGATTGAAAAATACCTCTTTTTACATGCGTAATTTTGTCTTTTCTTAATTTTTATCATTACCACCCTCAAACCTTTGTGATTTTTTTTCTAATAAAGCAGCAATAAAATTGCTTCAAGATATTCTTCATATTTTTACTATCTTTTCAAGATTATCCCCCTGTAGCTTTGATCAGCATTAAGTTGAAAAGAGATGAAATAATTGGCTGATTCAATATGTTGCCTGTTTGCTGACAGTACTGGGACCTACACAGGAGAGTTAAAAATTCAGTATACTACACAAAGGAAAGTCTTGTTGGTATGGGGGGGAGGGGAGGGAGGGATGACGTTTTTTCATCAATATCCCAAGCGAACTACGAAAAAATACCATCACCCCCCCCCCCCCCCCCCCTACCAACAAGACTTTCCTTTATATTATGGATACTGAATTTATAGCTCTCGGTTTTCTTTTTAAAATGAACTACAGAGTTGATTGGATCCTGAGTAAAATTCTGCCAAGACTGAAAATTTGTAGCCTGGTATATTTTATTTTACATTTAAACTTAGTTCATGTTTCATTTTATGTTGAAAAGTTTTTCGCAAATCCCCCATAAAAAGACCATAAATTAAAACTCTCTATTGATAACAAATTAACAATATTCATTTAAGAGCTAACATGTTTTTCAACGTTTATTCTACCGTTGTTTTCAATTCGCCTTCAGCTGCATCCGCAACAATTGTTACGAATATCGACGGTGAAACTACCAAACCACGTATCTCGTTTGCGGTGTTTAAAAATCTACGCTCGCATTTTATTTTTTTGAAGTAGACAAAATCAATATCATTCCTTGAAATTTTCACAGAATTTTCTCCGCACGAAGAGGAAAAATCACAGAAATTTTCAAGACTGGACGTTAAGTAGTTTTTCATTTAAAAAATAAAGTATGACAGGAAGTCTGCGACGTCACAAACCGAGATACGTGGTTTGGTAGTTTCACCGTCGATATGTTGTGCGTGCCGATCTCAGCTCATTACCTACATACCTGACTCTGTGAAGGCGTTTAATGTGCGAAAGTAGAGCACCCGGTTGGAGAAAAGTAGAAGTGAGATTGAATGAATCGCTGAATCCTTACTTTACTTCGTTCGTTCTTCGACGGACGGCGCTACTTGCGTATTTAAAATGCCTTCAGAGAGTCAAGTATGTAATGAGCTAAAAGCAGCACGCACAACATATTCGCAACATCAATTGCTGCAGACGCAGCAGAAGGCGAATGGCTCAGTTAAAAAAAAAAAGGAGTATAGAAGGTAGTCTGCAAGTAACGAGAGGGTATGTATTCGATCGACATGAATCGAACGCAAAATAAAAACGAGAACCGATCGCCATCGATTTGATTGAAGTATAAAAGGGAAAACGGGTTCGTTCTTAGTTTTCAATCGAATTATGTCGAGCGCAACAATTCTGGTCTATTGACGTAGTAAATTTCAGTAAATCACTCAATGAATGGTGTGATCCATTATTGAAATTATTATCTATGGCAAAGCATCTAGACTCATAAGTTCAGTCACGGGGTTTCCCCTTGTTTTATGATAGATAACGGCAAAATATTTGTAATTTTTTGCAACATTCGAGAGTTGCCGAATTGAAATTTAAATATAATATAGATCAAATTGCGTTCAAAAGTGTTCGAAAATTTGGAGTAAAAAGATTCACTCATTTTTTTGAAAATAAGTATTTTACCTAAAGAGATTTGGTAACGCCTGAAGGTTCATACGGCGTTTCCATCAGCACGGCGGTATTGAGAACTATGCAGAAGTTTTAATGATTTGAATAGCATTCTAGTCCATGAATATTAACAAGAAACGTTTATTATCAACAAAAATGGACAAGGCATATAATACAAATCATAAGAAAAGTAAGTACTTACTTACACATATCGACGGTGAAACTACCAAACCACGTATCTCGGTTTGCGACGTCGCAGACTTCCTGTCATACTTTATTTTTTAAATGAAAAGCTACTTAACGTCCAGTCTTGAAAATTTCCGTGATTTTTCTTCTTCGTGCGGAAAAAATTCTGTGAAAATTTCAAGGAATGATATTGATTTGGTCTACTTCCACAAAATAAAATGTGAGCGGAGATTTTTAAACACCGCAAACGAGATACGTGGTTTGGTAGTTTCACCGTCGATATACAATTAGTTAAGAAGCAGTTACTGGTTAGATTACAGAAAACTCTGTAAAGTTCGATGCATCTCAGTCTTAATATTTTCCCCTTAAAAATTATGGCATGAATAATAGACAGAAACAAACTAATAATAAATAAGTCACGAAGTATCACATTATACGTTAGTACACGTATATATCTGACTTCAATAATTATTATACAATCAAATTTAAATACATGTTGATGATCAGATACCAATCAATGTGCGCAGCTATCATTTTATGCTTAGGAGTAGGTAGCTAATAAACTAAACTATACCAATCCGTAAGCATTTATGAGTAGAGCTAAAAAAAATGTTAATATCTAGAGAAGTAGAATTTCATATATTCTACTATTTATTAACATATTAAAATAAAAATAAATCAAACTTGTTTGTACAGTAGGTAAATTTTATAAATCTACGTATATAATGTTGGAGTTATAATTAGGAGAAGCATTTTTATTCTTTCGGAAAACAATAACTACAGTCTTGAACATTTTAATTTCTTTCCTCTTCATATTTAAACACTATTACCTACATGAATATCCATTGCATAATAGGTCTTCAGTTATTCACCCTCGTGAAGATTACAGGGGTATTAGTTCTTTCCAAAGCAAATAAGCCATTTATGTCGCGCCAGCCAAATTAGGTCAGAAAAATTCTGTCAGCACCCTAAAGTATTCGCTCTCATTATTTCCTCTTCTTTTGCATCTCTTAACTTTGCATCTTTCAGAGGGCGGTAGGTGATTCGCCTATTTTTAATCACCTCATTTAAGTAAACAATGATTCAACTTAAAAGTGATTGCGAACAAACAGGTTTAAGAATAATTTTCTTGATGTTTTCTCCTCATTGTTTGGCGAGGAGAGCAAGTTTGGTGATCATACACGCAAACCTCTTTCTAAATTTGCCTGATGCTAAAGGCATAATTACCTATGCTTGGTAACGGACATGCGCACCAATTTTCACGAGCAATTGGTTATAAATAATGCATATACTTAATTTTACTTTCACGGACACAGTCCAAACTGCGTGCGAACCGATGTGCGTTGCACTAGTGCTGCTTAAAATTCCCTTGAAGCTGTGACAACTTCGAACTCAACATGAGGGCAAATTTCCGATGAAAAATACATTCAACTCAATCAAAATTGACAGCGTAATGCTTACGATGTATAGTACCAAACATGTCCATCCAATCTGAAAACAGTTAAGATCATTAATTTTTTTTGGGTAAGCATTGTTTTTAAATGGCATTAAAAAACAGGTCTAAATTGCAGCAGTTCATACCCAGGGCCGGATTTACCTACTTGCCACCCCCTCTTATTCATTTTGAAACATCAATAAAAACTATGAAGTGGACGTGCTGAAGAGGGAGACGTGCATAAGACGCGTTAACTCGAGTCGGACACATTTTTTGCGAAAGTCCTGTCAACACTACTGGCAAAAGTTCTAGGAACTTTGCGCGAAACTTAAGTTCCGTAGACCTATCTCTGTGCGGTCAAGGCCTTCCATTTATAAGAACTGAGCGAAAAAATTATGAAAGAACAAACATAAATGTGGTTTCATAATTTTAACTTCCGCCGCCGTGCCGCGCTGACTGGACTGTGTTTGACGCGATGCTTGAAGTATTCCTACAGTCTTGTAGGCGCTATGCGACCGCACCGTATTTGACGCAATGCGTGAAGTATTCATGCAGTCGTGTAGGCGCTAATATGTGTTACATGCCGACTGCCGCCTTACCGAGGGCTCCTCCTTTTCATCTCAAGTCCTCGTCATCATTGCTCTATGCGCCACGCCGCTCCAGGCCAAATTGCATGTTAGGTTTCTCTCTTAACTCGACTAATTAAAGGTGCTGTATCTTGTATCACCGAAAGACGACATACTCTCAGTAAATGACAGATTTTGTCGCCTTTCCTCGCTTGTAATTTTTTTTCTGAATCCGATTTTTTTTTTCAAACTTACATTTAAAAAAATTTCAAAATTTGCCGCCATGGGCCGCGGCCCATATGTCCACCCCCTAAATCCGGCCCTGCTTATGCCAGCCTAACATTTTTCCATATTTACATAAGTAGATTTAAGAGAAATGCATTTTGTTGAACTTAGAGCCTTCATTCATTGAAGATATTGCGGGCGAACTGCTGAGAATGAAGGCAACACAGGTTGGCAGCGTGATGTTGATCCACTAATGCTACTTCCAAGTATCACGAATAAGCAAGAAACAATATTTGTACGCAATATTGCTTTCACGCTGCTCATGTTGCCCGATGAGGATATTGAAGGCGAACTGTTTTAAGTAAACGCAAAATAATGAGAGAGCAATAGGATGTTCCGATTCGGATGCGTCCGTCCATTCATTACTTTCATTGGGCAACGTGAAATGGCTTGGAAACAGGAATTGTTGTTTACAGTAATATGCCATGTTCATTCACCATAGACGTAGCATTAGCGGATTTTTACGCTACCAACCTTGTGTTGCATCCAGGCTGACCAGTTCCCTTTCAATATCTTTAATAGGCAACGTTAGCGGCGTAGAGGTGTCGATAGTTGCGTGCAGTGATTGGAGAGGGCTCCATATCGACTAAACGCGGCAGGTAAACGCGACCATTTGCATAATTAATACAGATAAAAATCTGTATTACTGGTTAGGTACCAGACTCCCGGGGATCATACACAATCAGGAATTTTATGACCACTAACATTCTTTTTTAAGAGATCGTGTTCGTGTGTCTTAACCCTCCATACAAGGCGATTTTACTTTCAGTGAACTGTTGTCAATGACAGTAATTGAATAGATAAAATGAAGGATATTTCGAAAATTTTTAGGCGAACACTCTGCAGAAGTTTGAAAATAATCGAGAGCTTTGCAGTTGTGACTTTTGGTCTAAAAGTCCTGCACCAGGCATCGCTCCTATAACTTTTGAACAAATTGAGCGCAGACTTGACATTTTTTGAGTGCTCTTACAATTAGATCAAACGAACCGACTTTTGGAAGCCCCAAAAATTATGAGAGGACCCCCCTGAAAAGGTGCAAGAGCCTCTGGGGTTACAATGGTGGTGCGGGACTTTTGAATCATCCGGTATAGGTAAGACGATAGGAAGGAAGAGAAAACATTTTCATGCTAATGGATGAAGTTAAAAGTAGCATGTTACCTTTTTGTCCATTGTGAAGCGGTTGGCAGCGAACATGGCGTACACAAGTACGAGGAGTGCAAGGAGAAGGAAAATGCTGTACTGAAGCCCCTTTGAGTGAATCGTGATAACGCCACTGGACGAGAAATAGACTGCTTTGATCAACCATGGCAGTCCCAGACAGAGTAATATATCGAACGTACTTGACCCGAAGGAATTGCTCAGGGCCATGGTTCCATTTCCTGTGAAGAAGAAAGATTGCTCATGAAGAGATCTACCCTTTTGGTATCCCAGGGATTCTGGGCGTGCATTTTCATGAACTCTGCGGGAACGTCTTCTATATCGACGGTGAAACTACCAAACCACGTATCTCGTTTGCGGTGTTTAAAAATGTACGCTCACATTTTATTTTTTTAAAGTAGACCAAATCAATATCATTCCTTGAAATTTTCACGGAATTTTCCCCGCACAAAGAGGAAAAATCACAGAAATTTTCAAGACTGGATGTTAAGTAGTTTTTCGTTTAAAAAATAAAGTATGACAGGAAGTCTGCGACGTCGCAAACCGAGATACGTGGTTTGGTAGTTTCACCGTCGATATGCTACCGTCCTAAGGGAAAACGCCGTATAAGACTTTCGACGTTGCGAAATTTCCCCCGATGAAATATTTACTTTTGAAGAGTATTATGTATACCTATCTTTGAAATTTTCAGATATTATAGATTAAATTGTGAACAAAATTTTCTGAAATATTGGAAGGAAAATATTCAGTGTTTTCTCAGTAAATCCGGTTTTATCTAAGGAAATGTGGCAACGTCTGAAGGCTTATACGGCGTTTCACATTAGCTCAGCAGTATGGGTCAACATGGTACTTTTTCCTCCTTTAAAGAATTTTGGCCAAAGTGTCCCTTGTCAGAGCTACAGACGCTTTCTCATCGAAATTCAGAATTTTAAAATTCTGAGGAATCGTCATTTTTTCTTAATTTTGGCGAGAGTTACAAAAAAAAAAAAAAATGGCAAATTTGCGGTTTGGCAAAAAAATTCATCCAAAAGCCATGAAGCCTCTGATAAAAAATTCCAACCGCCAAAACTCCGGTTATATTTGAAATTTTGGGCATCTTGCCAAGAACTATATATTCGCAGAACGCTCCGCAACTATGACCAATATTCATATTTGAGTTTTTTTCATGGAAAGTGGGATTATGAAAATTCTTTCTCAAATTTTTCAGTACGGTTCACCAGACCAAGCTGAGAATTTAATTCTGAAAATGTTTTAAGAAACCAATTTCACAGGTTTTTCAGAAAATCCTTTTTCTGTCTGAAAAAATATATAGCACTATCCAAATGTTTAAACGACAACGTTCTTCACCAGAGTGCAGTGCCGTGCTAAAAAAAAGCGTCGCAAGAGCAATCGAGAGTTGCAAAATTCCGTCCAGTAAAATATTTATTTTAGTGAAAACGTGAGCATATTTTTCCTCAAAATTTTCAGGAATATTGGATTGAATTGCGAACAAAATATTCCGAAAAATTCATGGAAAAATAGTCCATAAAATAGTCTGGAAAAAAATTTTGTCAGGGGAAATTTGGCAACATTCAAATGTTCGTACAACGTTTTTCCTCAACGAGGGAGTATAGTGAATGGCAACGAAATAGGTGCCGGGAAGACGAAGCGTGGGCGTCTGTCCTCAGAAACAAATTAAATTGTCTTGAACTGACCTTTCTTACTGACGATGACGCAAGACACAGTTTCCGGTATGCTCATACCGGCTGCGATGAACGATAAACCCATCACCGAGTCAGGTATGGACAGCTCGTTTCCTGCAAATAAAGAATTCGTCGTAAGTTAAAAAAAATGCCGAAAAATATTTGCGAGACTGTACCTACCTAAATTAAATAGATTGAGAACAGTGAGCAATCATCTCCAATCCAAAGTGTCTTAATTTCTATCCCTCCGAGACAAAAGTATGTTTTTGTGAGAAAATAATCGTTTTAACCAAAGGTGGATACTCAAGGGAGGAGGGGCGTGCGGGGCGTG